TTCATATCTTTAGGATCTGGCACGAGGAAAATCCCATGTTTCACTTTGCGGTGTTGGTCCTTCGTTTAGAAATAACTTTTCTATAAAAATTTCATGGTAAGTGTTAGGATATGCTCCTAGCTATGGTCCCTAGAGTTTTTTAAAATTTAAGCATAGTACGAAACTGTTGTCTATATAACATCAATTTACAGTTAATCTAGCTAGATGTAATCGTAAATTCTATGCTAACAGTTTCTTCTCTTACAATTATCGTTTGTAGTTCTCCCTTCCGGCTGCATACCTTCCAGCCAACGTTAATCTGCAAAAATTTAAGTGTAATGTCAATCGCTATCTATTGTCCTCCTGATTACTCTTTTCTCTTACCGCTCATTAATATCGTTTCTGCTCCTAATTCTTCACACCTTATAATCACCTTGTGGCTTAGTGACTTTATTGCCTTGCATTGAGTGATACCAATTTCAAGGAAACACGAAAAGAAGTTTGTGTGTTAAGTGAGACGTGAAAAATGGGTGCGTAATGAGTGCCACGACTGGTTGAAACCTTGTTTATATTTGTGCCTAAAATTGCACAATACTTTTCCATAATACGCGGAATAGATGAAATATATTTTGGGGTTCACTCGTTCATTCAAAGACAACTGAGCGTCCTGGATATGACGATAAACTCCGTCCGGCAGCAAAGTCTCTGTTCAGGAGATTTTGAGGAGCGTGAAACCATCTCTTAATTGCTGATGTTCCCAGGTCAACCCTGACCCGGGGTGGTAGCACCTGTTAGGGTTCCAGCTATGGGCAAATAGGTTTTAATGCCAGAATATATTTTTTTGTAAAAAAATTATTACCAGCAATAAATCTTTGAAGAAAAAATTATTACCAGCAATAATTTTTTGAAGAAAATATTATTACCAGTAATAAATTTTTGAAGAAAAATTATTACCAGCAATACATTTTTGAAGAAAAATTATTACCAGCAATACATTTTTGAAGAAAATATTATCACCAACAATAAATTTTTGAAGAAAATATTATTACCAGCAATAAATTTTTTGCAATACATTTTTGGAAAAATATTACAAGAAATACGTTTTGAAAAATATTACCAGCAATAAAAATCTTGTCGGCATTAAATAACTAATTCAGACTAAGATGCCGTAAAGCAAAGCAAAGCAAACCGGACAACTGAGGTTATTTTTGGCTGCGTGTAAGTAAATTTCTACTGTTCACATCCGTTCCTAGGCTCTCTTTGTGATTTAAAAAACAAAGACAGCAGAAAGAAAAGAGGCAAGATGTTTGCGGCCATAGGTCTCCACGCTTTCCCGTCCTTTCTAGCTCTTAATAAGTCTTGTATTTTTGTTATAAATTGCCCTTCCATCCATTCAAGCTCGTTAAGCAAGGGTTATCCGTTGCTTTCCTCTATCACTTTTGCCTTCAATCTGTCCATTTCTGTTTCGACTTCGTCCACACCCTGTAACCGCTTGTATCTTAGTGGCTTTATTGCCTTGCATGGGATGATACCGATTTAAAAGAAATAAAAATACGTGGTATTTTTTCATCCGTTATATAATATTTTTTTTGTAATTTAAAAATTTCAATCCTTTTAAATCTCATTTGTTTGCAATTCTACTTTTCTCATCTGACTACAGGGATTTTAAATCAAAAATCCTTTTCTCTCTCTCTCTCTCTCTCTCTGCATGTTTCTGCTTAGCTCCCGGGTTTAATTTAGCGCTTCAGATTAGATTATAGCGAGGTCGTTTTTAAGGTTTGAAGAAATAAGAAAACACATACCGAGGAAGCTAAACGAAGGAACTTAAAATGCTAGGGATGGAAACCCGCAATTAAATCAGCGAAGGAAAGAAAAAAAAAATAGAAAACGAACAAAAAGCATAAAGGAAGAAATGAAAACCAAAAAAAAAAAAAAAAGAAGATTTTGAAGTAACGTCATCAATGAATTAACTAATTAAGAATAGCTGACAAGTAAAGACTTTAAAAGGAGTGCTCAGTATTACATTAACACATTTAAAGGGAGTGTTCAGTATTGCTGGAAACGATCTAATGGCAGAAACCAGAAAAGGGAGAGTTCACTGTTTCTTTAAAGAGTTTAAAAGGAACGTCTGGTATTACGTTAAAGAACTTAAATTTGTTGTTCATGATGACGGTCGTCTTTGAGTATAGAATCCAGAGGTTAGCAGTGAATATTTTGAAGACAGTAGGGAAGCGTTGTTCAGGTTAGCAGTGGATATTTTGGTAAAACTAGCAGAGCGTAGTTCATCCTTCTGTTTCTCTTCGCCTGACAAACTGGACTGGACATTCGGGTAGAGTAGACAAAAATGGCCGCCTTTATACACGACGGATTGAATATTCTACGTCTTCTGAGTATAGAATCCAGAGGTTAGCAGTGAATATTTCGAAGACAGTAGGGAAGCGTAGTTCAGGTTAGCAGTGGATATCCCGGTAATGTAGCAGAGCGTAGTTCTTCCTTCTGTTCCTCTTCGCCTGACAAGTTGGCACTGGACATTCGGATAGAGTAAACAAAATGGCCGCCTTTATACACGACGGATTGAATATTCTACGTCTTCTGAGTATAGAATCCAGAGGTTAGCAGTGAATATTTCGAAGACAGTAGGGAAGCGTTGTTCAGGTCAGCAGTGGATATTTTGGTAAAAGTAGCAGAGCGTAGTTCAGTAGTTCTTCCTTCTGTTCCTCTTCGCCTGACAAGCTGACACTGGACACTCGAGTAGAGTAAACAAAATGTCCGCCTTTATACACGGCAGATTGAATATTCTACGTCTTCTATTGGTTAACCTTCTATTGGTGGACTATAAAGTGAGTCGCGTCATTTGGGCTAGCTCACTAGTTACATAATGTATCCAAAAATTGTAACAAAATTGAGCGTTTATATATCTTTAAATGACGTCAGGAAAATATGTTTGTTTTTTTTTTTTTACTAGAATTTTTTGCAACACCTTGATGTGGACACGGTTGGCAGAAACAGAGACACGGATACAAGCGTTTGAGAAAAATGCATGGGAACAATGCACCTTCTGGTTCCGTTTGGTTTATTTTACGGTATATCAACCTTTGTCATTTATTTAATGCCGACAAGATTTTTTTAAATTTTTTTTTTATTGCTGGTAGTATTTTTATTCAAAGGTGTATTGCTGGTAATATTTTTTTCCAAATATGTATTGCTGGTAATATTTTTTTCTTCAAAAATGTATTGGAGCCTGTCTATATTTCTGAATATGGATAAAGGCGTTGGTTAGATCCAGTGACAGACCCAAAGAAGGTGAGTTCAACACCTGGTTAAGGCAGTGGAGAACTTCCAGAGGGAAAATTAGCAGGAGATAACTGATAACTGACATCCATGAAACATGGCACTTGGAACTAGAACAGTCTACCCCAGTGATCGAAATAAAGGGTTCAGTTCGAAATTCTAACCACCTGAAGAAGGCCGGAGCGTACAACAGCCGAAACTTTGTGACAAATATGGCGACAAAGATGAGGACAATAGTCCGACTAATGTAAATACTGTAAAAATGTATTGCTAGTAATATTTTTTCCTTCAAAAATGTATTGCAGGTAATATTTGTTTTTTCCTCAGAAATATATTGCTCGTAATAATATATAGCTGGTAAAACCTATGTTTACACTTTCATAGTGTTTTGACACCTGTTTGAGGGGTGGGGCTATTTGGCCATATTTAGGACGCTATCAGGTACAAACATCGCGGTTCAGGATGGAGCTCGGAACACCAGAAATTAAGAGGTGGTTCCTTGCTCTTCAAAACCTTCTGATCAGAGGCCTTTCGGTCGGATGTAGTTTATCATCATACCCAGGACGTTTGGCACCTTCTATTGGAAATATAAGTCCAATGAGTTCGTGCGGAAAAGGGTTGAAAGTTTTGTTAGCCACCAGGAACCTCTTCTTGCCACTGTGGAACAGAGAAAAATGTCATGGTTTGAACACGTTACACGACTCGGCTACCTGTGCAAGACTATCATGAAAGGCACCGTCGAAGGTGGACGCAGGAGAGGACGCCAACGCAAAAAATGGTTGGGCAATGTCAAACAATGGATAATTATGACTGTACCAGAATTACTGATGGCTGCCGTTGATAGACCGTTGTGGAAGAGATTCAATATGGTTTCTACATTCGGATCCCACGACCTACGGGTACAAAAGTCAAGAGGATGATGATAATAATAATAATAATGATGACACATGTTGAAATCCTTCATTATTGATGAAGTTATCGCTAACATTTTTGTCGTGAATTACAAATTCTACGTTTCGTTCAATTTCGCAAAGCAATCACTGAAATTTGAACAAGCTGAGTTGTTTAGAAAAAAATACTTTGACAAAAACCCTACTCATCAGTTTAATTTCTTTAACTTGATTTAATTTTATGGGACTTAATGGTAAACAATATTCTTTAAAGAAAATTCCTTATTTCCTTTTTTACAGCGAAGAATAAATTCTTAGGATTTCTTACTCTTGAGCATGAAACATACAATTGGCTATGCGTAAAAATTTGTTTCTGGAGCCAAATTTTAACTTTCTGAAGCGTTTGGACATGTGAATTGTTTATACAGTGTAACCCGGATATAAGAAACCCGGATATAAGAGATACCAGGATAAAGAGATTTCTTCTCCGGTCGCGACAATTCTCTTATATCCGGGTTACACTGTGGTTCTCGCAAACGCAGGGTGAACTGGAAATTGAACTGTCATATATAAATAGTCAAAGAAAAGATATTCAAAAAACAGTATTGCATTTTTATTAAATAATTAGTTGTTTTAAACATTAAGATGGGTTTTAAAATAGTGGGAGCATTTTGTATATTAATTTATTTTTTTCCAAAAAGTGAATAAAATTCTACTGTACTACGCACCCTAGTAAAACCAGCTGTACTTTGTACCCTCTTACCTGTTTGTTTCCCAAATTGGGTTTTGATCGGGAAATGTGTGGCTCTTTTTAAGGACGGACAGAATAATGAAAATCACAAAACTAGATAGATAGATATATAGATAGATAGATATATAGATAGATAGATAGGGAACAGGCTAAGATAGTGTTATGGTCCGGTTCCTTGAACCACGGTAATAGTTCAAGGTAGAACCAATAAAGAAGAACTCGAACACGGATATGGAATAACACAGATATATTACAAACAGGAATATATACAGAGAAGTAGAAGTGTTAGTATAAACAATCAGGTTTAGTAGTAATTGTCTGAACGCGAATCTGTTTCGGACTGCCTCTGACTCGACTGACTGACCGACTCTCTCGCTCTGACTGACTGACAGACTCCTGACGGACTTCATTCCAGACTTCAGACTGAACTCAGACTTCAGACGGAACTGTTTGTTTCCTCTTGAGGCGCAGTAATTATTACGTATGGAATAGTCCATTATGATCTTATGGGTTAGGTCCCATAACAGATACATAGATAGATAGATAGATAGATAGATAGATAGATAGATAGATAGATAGGGAGCAGGCTAAGATAGATAGATAGATAGATAGATAGATAGATAGATAGATAGGGAGCAGGCTAAGATAAGATAGATAGATAGATAGATAGATAGATAGAATTATTGTATTATATATTTCATTCGAAAATAATTTAATGACCTCTAAGGATTTTCTCATCGGTTAAAAATCACTGTACTAATCTATCAGTCTATCTGTCTGTTTATCTCTCTGTGCCACCGTAAGGTGTATTTAAAAAAGAAAAAGGCTTTCCAAAATCACAAAAAAATATTAAGAAACAGGATAATTTCTTTAGAAACAAAGACAAGACTACTGACCTTATTTAAGACTTTGTAAACGCCTTTAATTGCATAGAAAAGTTTTACCATTGGCGTAATTAATGTCAGGACTTGTAGAAAACAAAAGAAAAGTAGATATTTGTTGTAGCATACCTACGGACGATAATGGGTATGTCTCCATTCACATAGATACAGTAGTAAATACTGTATATTGGTCTCCAGTCGCAGATTCGTCTCCAGCTCTGCTGGTCAAAATCTTTGCCTCCGGGCAGAGCATATCCCCAGATGGGGCTATGTCGAAGAGCAGAGTCTCGTCTCCGGAAACAGCTACCCGAAGCCGTTTTATACGGGGTCTATGGGGAATTTTTCGCCGAGCCTACGGGCTCGGATACCCCACATTAAATTCGGTGCTTGTGCCACATCTAACCGCGTGGGGCGCTTGGTAGATATTTTGAAGTTGGAGATTCATCTCCAGCTGTCCCGGTCAAACTCTCTGCTTCTGGGCAGAGAGGACCCCACCCCCAGACGAAGCTATGTCGAAAGGAAGAGTCGCGTCTCAGTAAACAATTACCCGACCCCTTTTTTAGAGGTGTCTACGGGGAATTTTTAGCTGAGCCTACGGGCTCGGATACCCCACATTAAATTCGCTCTTGTTCTAAATCTGACCGCGTGGAGCAGTTGGTAGTTATTCTGCAGTTGGAGATTCATTGTGGAATTCACTTGACTCATTCTAGCAGGTGACTACTTCTTCTACGCACCGCTGGCGAATCTTATATATGTTGTTCTTGTCCTAAGTATTATCGTTCATTATCAACTTTTGTTTGATTATTCTATTCAGTAATCTTCCCTAGGTTGCAACAGTATTATTGATTGGGGGATGTTGATAGGTATTAAATTGATGTATATATAGATAAAGAAGTCAAAGTTGAAGGAAGGCCTGATATTAATATCGGGGTTAGCACAAGCTAATAGTTTTACATAAAGTAAACATTACGGGAATGGTTTTGTTATCAATACTGAATGGAAAAAGAAAATCTGTAGCCATAAATAAGTCAGATAATAATAAAGATATATTTTGGTTATCAGTAAAAGACACAAAAAGTTTAACAAAATATAAGCATCATTGGTCACTTGACATTATTCGCTATAAAAATCGATTGAAAAAAAAAACGGGCAAATTGTTTTTTTTTTTGTTATGTATGTGTGTGTGTGTGTGTTGAGGCGGGGTAATAAACTGTTTTATGAATACAAAAAAGAAGCAACGACAAAGGAGAAATGAAAGGTACTTCAAACAACTATACAGCAGGTTATTATGACTGATGAGAAATAGGACATGAACGAAAAGGGTTCGTAGTGAGGAGCAATCAACATAACTTTGCATAGTACACATTTTATAGGCTGTTAGATGAAGAAAATGGAAATATTTAAGTCGATGAGGAGTAATAAAAAAGTAAAGACAGAAAAATTATGGCAGTTCGAAACAGAAGAAAACAAATCAAGAGATTCAAATAAATAAAGTAATGAATAAACCAAGATAGATAGACAGATTGATAGATAGATATTCAGTTTTAGCGAGATAGATAGATATTTAGTATTAGCGATATATATATATATATATATATATATATATATTATATATTTTTAGCGATATAGGTAGGTATTCATTTTAGTGAGATATATATTCTGTTTTACCGGAATATATATACAGTGTAACCCGGATATAAGAGACCCGGATATAAGAGAAACCCGGATATAAGAGAGATTTTCTCTGGTCCCAAATTAGAGCCTGTGTTAATGTATATAAAATAGACCAAACTCGGATATAAGAGAAACCCGGATATAAGAGACTTCTTCTCCGGTCCCGAAAACTCTCTTATATCCGGGTTACACTATATATATATATATATATATATATATAGAGAGAGAGAGAGAGAGAGATAGAGAAATATGACAGATAGATAGAAAGATAGATGTTCCGTTTTAGCGAGATAGATATACGTATAGATAGATATTCAGTTTTAACGATATGCATAGATATTTAGTTTTAGCGAGATAGATAAAGAAACATTCATGTTGAGCAAGATGGAGAGAGAGATATTCAGTTTTAGCGAGATAGATAGATAGATAGATGTTCAATTTTAGCGAGATAGATAGATAGATATTCAGTTTTAGCGAGATATTCAGTTTTAGATAAATAGATATGTAGACAGATCGATGATAAGACTGAGATAGATCTCAGTGGGGTTGATAGAAGAAAGAAAGAAAAGAAAAATGTTGATATATATATATATATATATATATATATATATATATATATATATATATATATATGTGAAGATGAAAATTTTAGAATGAGGTGCTGACAGATTGAAAAATACATATGACCATTTGTGTTTTGAATGACAAAATTTTAAATGATTTTTTTTTTTAAATAGTCGAAACCAAAATCCACCGAAACAAAGAATTGGAAATCTAAAACTAATTGATGTGCTTTCGTTTCGCTCTCAGTCGGATAAATAATTTCCAAATGCTGCCATTTCTCTTCTCTTCGCTTTCTTCTCTCTCTCTCTTTCTCTCTCTTGCTTTTATGCATTTGTCAAGGAACGAAAAATAGTCAAGAGGATTGAAGGAAAACCAAAAGTATTAAAAATAACTCCGAATCCACAAAATAAATAAAAAATTAAAAAAAAATGTTTTTGCCTCTAAAGAATAATATGAAGGGAAATAAGAACATGATGGAAAATTTGAACCCGCGAAACAAAATAACTTAATAAATAAATTAAAACAATAAAATAATGTCTAACTAAAAAAAAAATAAAAATCTTCCCTCGAGTGGAGATTGATTATATTATTTCAACCTCGGAATCGTTTAGCCGAATCTGTTTTACCGTAAAATAAAATCCAGAAATAAAAAAATAATAATAACTAAATAATAAAGTAATAAAAATAATAATTAAATAATGAACGTAGGGGAAGTTCAAAACATGAAAAACGCCAAACAAAATAAATAAAAGCTGATCGAACACAGGTTTTTTTTTTTTCAAATGGCACTTGGTAATGATTTTAAATCATTTTAACCTTTTCTAACTTACAGAAGCAGAGAGTTCTAATTTCAACATCTGCCCAACTTGCGAAATAGCTCGCATGTTCCTCGACTCGTTTTTAAACTGAAGCGTGGTAATCACTGTTCAACTAATTTTACTTCAAAACTAAATACAAAATCACAAAAAAAAAAAATGTCGTATTTAATGGATTATAAAAGAAATCTATTTCCAGGGTTCTCGTAATGTCATTTTCAAAGGCCGATAATAAGATAATTCCAGACTACTTATCGGGAAATCAACGCTTTAAAAAGCTTTTCACATAATCAGGGTTGTTGTAGGATATCATTATTTTAAAAACTGATGACGAAATAAATAAGAACAAGTATATAAATTTTGCAACTTTAGACAGTTTTAGCGAGATCAACAGATAGATAATTAGAAAGATGTTCAGTTTTAGAGAAACAGATAGATAAATAGATATACAGTCTGAGCATGATATGTACATAGTTTGATAGATATTCAGTTTTAGCGAGACAGATGGATAGATAGATACATAGTTAATTATTTTTTTGCGATATTTATAAATAGACAGATCTATATCTATAAAACAGATGTCTGTGTGTGTGTCTGTGTGTGTGTCTGTGTGTGTATGCTATTTATGCATGTCCATATTTACCGACCGATTTCGAAGAAATTTTACACATATGTTGGAAATTTACCAAGGTCAACACCAACTCTTCAATCTCCAGCACCACAGGATTGTCAGAAAAATCGATAAAATTGAAGGCAAAGTTACACGTGAACAAAACTTTTACTGGATGAGCTAATATTCTTTGTATTTAATGCAAAACATAGTTAGATTCATCATATGATTCTATCCATTCGAACAACATTTGATGCAAAGATAGTTTGAGGAGGATTATTGAACCGTTGAAAGGGTAAAATTCCCAACAAAACTCTTATTAACCTCAGCTTTAAAATCGACATGCGAAGAGGGAGGTGGTGGGGAGGTCGTTCATGCGTTTGTACTTGCAGTTGTATCAAGCTATGACGTTTCATCCCTGTTTTTGCTTGATTATTAGATTTGTGAACAATGCCATGCTATTTGAAAGCTATTACGGTCATAGAAAATTTATGGAATATCTAAAACATTGAAACAAAATAACCCCAAGGACTTGCGAAGGACATACCGTAAAAGAAGATGATGTGGATGATGCATGCAAGTGGGGACAGGGGGCTGCTGGTTTTCTGGAGCTTCTGTTGTACAATTGCAGCCATGTTCATCCGAGCAACGCCGGGTTCGTCGCCTGATAGAGAGAGTATATTTACTTGCAAAAATCCCCTCCTATATATATATATATATATTTATTTATTTAAAATTATAACATAAATATGTTATAAAATCACTACAAAAATAGCCATTTTGTTTCAACACCTCTGGTGTCCTATCAAGTGATGATGTTGAATGTAGATTTTAGAATAAAGGTTTTAAAAGGTTCAAATTAATTAACCACCCCTCGTAAGGGGAAACGCTGTCACATGAGCTGAAATGACCAATCAAAAAACAAGTATACGAGAATTCAAAAACTTGACAACGAAGTAAGGGTATGATAATTATTAAATGCTTTAAAGTTGGGTTTATACTAAAATAGAATTTATTCTAACAAAAAAGTATTAAATTGTACGATAAAATTTGATACCAAATTAAACACTACCCATTTAAAAAATTTAAATGTAATCTATATTAGGTTGAAAATTCTCAAATTATTGAGGAAAAAAGAAATTACTGAGGAAAAAAGAAATTCTACATTGGTATAAGACACCAAAGGTGTTGAAA